TGGTCTTTCTGTTCAATCTTCTGGCTTTTAGAATTTTACCACATGTTTCCGGAAGTTCGACTGATTCAATGAACTCATCAAGAGACCAGTCGACAGGAATATTTCTAACGATACCCATTCGGGTAATATTATATGTTGGGATAGATGCTTTGAATTTATACCGGCTAATGAAGTCAGAAGACACAAATTTATTAGCGTCAAAACCAGTTTTGAATTCTATCTCAATTCTGTTTCTTCCTATGTTTTTGATACCCCCTTTTACAATATTAATAATGTTGTGTTTATGGACTAGTTGGCCAAATTTGATAGGGCGAATGGTAGTGCCTGCAGCAGGGTCAGGTTCGGACCTACTGATATGAACAATAAAGGGACCACAATCATTTTGACCGTACTTACGGTCTTCTAAAAGGCTGGGATGTATGTAAACAGTTTGCAACGAGACTGAAGTATCTATATCGTTAGTGTTTCTAATACGCTTGTCTATACTATTAGCAGATTCTGTCGGTAATTTATGTTTCCGAGAGTCTATTTTATCTTTCAGAGAGTGAGACTGAGAAAATACTGGGGGAGACATAAATTCAATATCCGGTGGATCAGGGGGATCAGGAGGGTCCGAATCCATTGTGACCTTTAACTTATCAACTGCCTAGATAATTTTTTAATGAAATAAATAATACGTACTATATATAAGATCTAATGTTATCTACTTACACAAAACACTTACCCACGTATTGTTAGTGAGAAAGGCTCAAAATAGAAAGAAAACACTATCAAAAATTGATTAAACCACGAAAACAATTCAAAAGCACGTGTGTCAATCACTTCGAAAAACCAGAATCCCAAATTATATATCAAAACAATGTTAACTACGAAAGTATATAATAGTTGTGGGTAATAGGATATAGGACTAGCTCGGGGGGCGTAGTGGATAAGCGCCGCGGCTCGCCATCGTTGTTGTTAAGCAACTTTCGAAAGTGCCCGTCATGGAATGGGTGACCTAAATGTTGTACTTCGGAAGGTACATTAAGCCGTTGATGCCGGCTGCAGTCGTCAATACCCTTCAACCTGCATTAGGCCAACGTGGAAGGTCATGGCCCATCCTCCTTAACCATCCGTAAGGCCTGAGCCCATGCAGAGGGGACGTAAGAGCTGATGATGATTAAGGTTTTTGAGGTAAATTCAAAAGTTGCTTGTTTTCCGTTTCAAGGGACTATAACCTGAATATATGGTTTTAAATATCAACTCGATATTTCCACGTGTTCCCCAGATTAAGTTTTGATAGACTGACTGACATTTTAACATATAGTTATGTATTGCTGAAAAATTTACTGAGAACCTATTTGAGCGTCACAGCTGCATAGCGATTTGGCAAACTAATGCCAAATAAAACGAATTGTATATGTGGGGTATTTTTATAGAAAACATCTTGTTTGAGAAGGATAGTTTAAACTTTTATTTAGGTACACTAAAACATTACTTAATGTTATCTACGTAAGATATATATAACATACAATTAATTAACTAGAAATATTTAAAAACGTACATATGACAAATGATTAACAATAAATTAAAAAATTATATAGTATTAAAAAAAAAACGAGAATTCTGTCTTATGATACCTTTAACTACTGGGTAACTGAAATTTTCCGTTAACTGTACGCATCTGATAAACATTATTTTAATATTTACTTATTCACACATACCTATCAGTACCGGCACAACAGAGCGACCGCCCAACTCCACTGCAAAGTTTTCAATTTAGTAATTTGTCTCAAATTTATCCACCAAAAGACATGTCAAAGTAGTAAAATGAACCGAAACGTCCTCGCAATATATGCTATGGCTAGAGAGATCGCCTCACGAAAGAAGTCCCACGGATCACGTTTTTACTTTATTACAAAGGAATAACAGTTATGACGCAAGACTTGTATCTTGAGATAGACTTTATATGTGTCCATGCTAAATAATAAAAATGGGATACTGTACAATAATATGGAACTAGGAATGATATGTGTGAATATAGATTAAGCTTTAGCCCGTTATCATACGGAGCTACTCAAACAGAACTGGTTACAAATTTAAGTTTATGTATGCTAATCACCAAAGTTAATCTCTGGTCGCTTCGTGTGTCCACCTTCTTATGAATAACATTGTCATAAGAGGACGGGCGGTGATTCTGAAGCAACTTGTCCTTAGTTTTGTTTGTAACCAGTTTTTTTTTATTCGTACTATTTTGATATTTTTTAAAATTTAATTTAGAACACTAAAATCATATTCATATGTCAAGAATATTAAATTATAAGGACGAAATACAGACATAACTATAAATTACATTAACATTTCCGTTGTTAAAAAACGCAAGGCATAATAAGGAAGTATTTAACAAAATAAACATTGGTTCCCGAAATCAAACTAGATGTCGCTACGGTACGTTCTTGATTTCTCCATGACATTTTTTGAAATACTTCCTCATTTGAATTCTACCGCTATCTATTGAATGTAACCGTGACGTCAATGTTGCCAATCATTGAGAAATGATAATTTTATAGTTATTTAAACGCCTATTTGGAATACAATTTGTTTTTTAATGTGTAAATAATCTGTTTTAACAATACCTCTTTGAGGGGTCACATTTTAAATGCAGTAAAGCCATGTTTACAAGTTGCACCGATATGAAGTAGGTAGTATTTAAAAAAAGAGAGCACTAAAAAAGCACTTCCACTAGATGGCGACTCTAGCAAAAGTTGATTTTTGCAGGAAACGAATGGACCAGCCCCCTAATTGTATAATTTTAAATCTATTGCAATTGCTTTCAGTTTGAAAGGTGTTGCACAACCATTGCTGCATAATACAAATACTTTTTTTCAACTGTCTTCAAAAACAAGCAATGGTTGTGCAACACCTTTCAAACTGAAAGCGATTGCAATAGATTTAAAATTAGACAATTAGGGGGCGGATAGTCATTTCCGTTCCTTTTAACATATTAAAAAACTGAAATTTTGCTCAGTTCAAAACTTTCAATGCAAATACGAAAGATACAAATAGAATATGAGTTGTTTATTGAGTTTTGAAAACAAATTTACTTTTATACATGAAACAAAGCGGAAGGGTTGGCATGAAGAAATCAAGAAAGGACCGTAGCGACATTTAGTTTTATTTCGGGAACTAATGTTTTTTTTAATACTTCCTCATTGGGAGATATTTCAAGTGTTGCTCTTTGTTTACGAGCTCTAGTTTGCGCAAATATTTACATCGTTACTAATAAGAAAAGATAGTATTGTGCACAAATGCTAGAGTTTTTAATACAAGCAGGGCTGCCAGTGAGGCAAAGTTATTGCATATCTTTAAGTGAATGAAATTAGTATTCGAATCTTATTTTACTATATAATTCGACAAAAGAAGAAAGAAATATTTAACTTAACAATAAATAACTGTACTTTTTTTACAATTTTGCTATTTATGTTAAGATAAAAACAGAAGTAATCAGATTTAAATACATAATAGTCTTATTTATGTTTTCTAACCATGCCCTTAGAGTAAAATACAACTGATAAAGCTCACTAACTAGCTATATCTGAATAAAAGACACGGCAAACGTCATTCAATCATAATGATTCATGTATCACGCCATCGAGTGATCCACCAATATCCAGGCGCCGAACTAATAGTAGCTTCGGTCATCGTCGGTATCGTAGATCTGCGCTATATTATTTAGAACTAACAGTAACCAAAGTAATTAAATACTTAATTATACTTTTAGATAATTTATTATTTCTAAATTATATCTTTTAAATTGTCTCTTTATAAAGGTCACTAACATGACATAGCAAATCGTGTAAATGCAAATATGCCATAAACATATACATCATATTCAATTACACTTTAATGTGCATTATCTAACCAGTTTAAAGATTAGAACCATAGATTGAAAATATTCAAATCAACAATAAAGCCACATAATGGATCAGACTATTCGTTCAGTATGTGGAATAACAGATAATAATTCTTTGGATTATATAAGGTAATTTAAAAATACCAAAATACAGGACAGAAGCATATCAAGTTACCATAAAACCACAAAATTTTGTAATCGATTTTGAACTTATTGTCAAAGAATTGAGGTTAAAATTGGTTGACAAAATTCTTGTCTTAGTATAACCGTATAACCCGATACGTGGTTGACTGTACTGCTTAAGCACCAATAAATACACAAAAAGAAACTTAACAACATTCAAGTCTATGGTAAAATAGTTATTTATATTTTATTAATTTCGCATTCACAATGCTATACTGAAAATTATTCTTTATACAAAATGCTTAAAAAATCCACTGAGATAGGATCTCAGGGTGCCAGGAACCAAGTGGATTTTTTAAGCATTTTGTATTAAGAATAATTTTCAGTATACACTGATGCTAGTAAAACAAATCTTAAGTAATACATAATATAATCGAAATAAGCCTTATTGACAAAGCAAGAGGATTTGCAATGCAAAGATGCAAAGATTTTTTAAGTTAACTTATCAGGCCCGGATCTAGGGGGGCGCTTACCCCGAGCGCCAGCGTTAAGGCGACGCCAAATCGTTATTATTGAATACCTATTTACAGTTAAAAAAGAACAAGCATTACAAATTTCTTCATACACAATATAGGCGATATAGTAACAGACATGCTACAAAAGCCTAAATTTTCTGCCCTGGTTAAAAAAAAATCGTAGATCCGGGCCATGCTTGCATTAACTACACCTTACGTATCACAATCAAATTATACTACATAATTTAAATGGACTTTAAATCTCCATTCTAATATATTTTATATTAAACAAATTATATTTTTTATCTTTTTAATAAAAAAAAACAAATCACTGCAAATATACCTCTTCATATCGGTAGTTTAATGGTATAACCAGAACCAATGTACTCCTACAAGTAGAACAAGCTTATATCTCCCTTTTCCTAATAATATGAAGAATAAATGTCAACTAACAATAATAAAATTACGACTTAAGTGTATTTTGCCATGTCAAGTCTCATATCCGTGCCCAAACGCATATCTGAAGTAAATCTAGTGTCTGCACCTAATCTCATGTCAGTATTCAATCTCATATTATTATCTGTACCCAGTTTAGCGTCACCACTCAATCTCATGTCACCTGTTTCCAACCTCATATCAGATCCATGAGGTTGGGCGTTCATGTTATTTATATTAGGTTGGACAAGCTCTATGGCAATTCTACCATGAGCGGTTATTTTAGTCTTCGCTAACGGTGTGCCGTGTTTCCTAATCATATGCTTGTTGCAATTGGACCAGTTCCCGAATTTCCTCTCGCAGAATTTGCAAGAATAAGGCATAATACCAGTATGCTGAACTTCGTGTACTTTCAACTGGGTACCGACCCTGAATTCTTTTCCGCATACCATGCACTTGTAAGGTTTTATATCAGTATGGGTGAGCATATGATTCTGCAACTGCCGCTTTAATCTGAAATTTTTGCCGCATTCACTGCAAGAGAAAGGTTTAACATCACTATGTGTTTTCAGATGATTCTTCAAATAAGGTTTTGCATGGAATTTTCTATTGCATATGTGACATTCTTCAGTTTTCTTGCTGTGTAGTTTTAAATGATTCCTCAAGTTTGTGTTGTCGAAGAAGGCTTTGCCGCAGAAGTCGCACGTGTACCTCTTCTCCCTGTTTACGTCGTGGATCTCTCTATGGTTGCGCAATGTCGCTTTAGTCGTGAATTCTTTGTCGCATATCTCGCAGGTCAAGTCCGCTTTGGTGAGCTTAGAGGATCTACGCGGTGGATCGTATCTTTTCAAGTGGTCTTTTTGTTGCTCTACGTTTTCAAAGATCTGTCCGCAGCCGTCGCAGGGGGGGATGGGGAGATCGGTGTGCGTTTTCAGATGCTCCGTCATTAGAATTGGATCTCTAAAGAACGCGTTGCAGAATTGGCAGAATTTACTGAAATCACGAAATATGTTTTTTGCAAACCTTTTTACAATAATAATAACTTTTGATACTAAGCCGGCATGTTATTATGGAAAGAAAAACATAAAATGCATCAGTTACTAGTCATTCCACATTATTCGTAAAAGTTGACTGGTGTAAATTAATGCACATCATATGATAGTATGAACCCATAACATGAATATGCTGGTTATTCAGTTTTTAGATGAAAGTTTTTTTTGTTTGAGTCATGGGGTCTTGATATGAAACATTTTATTTTCAATGAAGGAAAAATATTATAGATGGCGCCTTTGGTATTAATTACAGGTATAAAATTTTTACTTTATTTCATTTGCCTGAGTGTGACTGTATATTTAATCAAATTTGTATGGACAAGTGACAAGTTAATGAATGATTTTGCTAACTCCAAAGTATATATGTAATACTGAACATTAAGTTACATTAAAAAAACAGGTATACTCACTTTAGCAGTGGCCGATGCCTTCGCACGTGTGAAACGAAACTGTTAAAGCAAGTCCTGACGAGGAGACAGTCAACGCACTTCATAGAGAAGCACTTATTGTGCACCTGCTGTGAATGCTGCCTTAACGATTCCAAGTCGGGTTGTCTCGCACAGCACTGCAAGCACGTCCATTCGTAATCAGACCAGGATCTCAGCACCTCTGGCTCGACATATTTGTCGTTATACTCTTTTACGATCACGATACCTTTCCGGCGGGAATGTCTAGCTATCCCTTTCCTTTTAAAAGCGCGCTTATGTCGCTCCAAAGACAATTGATCTGGTAATACTTCTCCGCAACGATCGCACACCTTCTGTGTGCCTTCCCAGTGCATAGCCGTATGCTCAAAGCAGGCAGAGTGCGTTTCAAATCGCTCATTACAATATTGACAGTAATATCTGAAATTAATGAATATCAAACCAATGTATTACGTACTAAATACCAACTACATTGCAAGTATTTGTGAACAGAATTTTACAGTTTGACTTATGACGCTACAGTTAGGTGTTTTTCTAAATCGGTCTATTTTGTTAGGTAATGTTTGTTCTGAATAAGATCAATTTTTACTAGTTTATGGCCTTCCAATAACAGACACGTGAGGAAATAGCAGATCATTACTGGTATTTTAGTTTCGGTCTATCAGCTCCATTTTGAGATACACATTACATATTTCCAAAGAATTTAAACATAACTCAATCATGGATATACTGTATTGAAAATGTACAATTTATTTACTATAAATTATAAAATAATTATGTTAGATAGATATATCACCAAGTAGATATATTTATTTTGTGCCATTTAATGTAATAAATGAAATGAAAAATATACTGCTAGTTATTATAGCCATATTTAGGTTGATAACCCAGTGGTAAGTGCATACGTGAACCTGCGGCAAGTTTTCCAAAGGCTGGTCACAGGATGGGTGATAGATTACAAAAAAAAAATATTATCTTGAGCTCCTCTGTGCTTCTGACGTCACCAAATTCACACTCAAACACTGGCCTATGCGGTGGGTAATGGTCTATTATCTGTATTTGATTTGATTCCATTTGTAGGGGAGGCCTATGCTCCAGCAGTTGGGACATTAATAGGCTGATGATGATGTTATTATTATACTACCATAGGTAGATAAACTAACACTGGCGAAAATATTCTCACTAGCAGTAAGTAACTAAATTTCAAAATTTCATAGAGGTCCTCAGTTTATCAAATAATTGAGCAGTGGTTTGCTTATATAACAAAAACTCAAAGTCTTAATGAGTCTGAAATTAAGCTATTTTTTTTTATTAAAGTAATTTACAATTGGTGATTTCTAACAATAAAAAATGTTAATATAAAAACCAATTAAGTTAATATAAAAAAGGAAAAAATATCACAATAGAAATAATGCCAAAAAACTGTTATAATCGAATTTAATTTAGAATTATAAACTTAAATATGTTATAATCCCATGTTTATTGGTTTTTTTTTTTCAACTATAATTAGTCTCAAAAGATTATATTATATCTTGGATAAAAAATAAGAATGATATTGAAAAAAATAAAAGATATTTTTATAGGTGTAGAGTTTTGCAACCAAAAAAATATGCTAACCTTAAGTTTGATCTGTGCCTTCTCACATGCTCAATGAACGAGTTAAATGTATTGAAATCATCTTCACAGTCAACACACTTGAAACCGTAACAGATGTTGTGATTTTCCTTGGTGTGGTTCCGTAATTCATACATTGTATCACATTTAACATGACAGTGAATACATATCCATTTATACAAATTCCATGAACCTCTCATAACTCTGGGTCTTCTTTCAACAACCTTCCTGGTTCTTGGTTTTCTGTAAACAGTGTTAGCCTTACGACTTAGCAGTATCTTCTTGAGCTGAGATTCATACTGACCTTCACGTTTCACACGTGCGTCACTTGACGAATCAGAATCATCGCATTGTAGCTCAACTGTCAGAATGTCCATGTGTTCATTATTAGTATTAGCACAATCTACTACCTCATTATTAAACTGTTGACTGTTGTTATTAGTACTTGAACTTGTATCTTGTTTGGTTGATGTGTTCGGAGAGTCTTGTGTCTTTGTAGTTTGGGTAACAGGGTTTTCTTCTGCATCTTTAGTTTTTGTGTTAGTCTTCATTGTGCGACCGTAAATTGATTTAAGGTAAAATTGAGACCGTCTCACCTTCTTGAAAAAAAAGAATGCGTCGTTCAACGCCGTCGAACAAGGTTCACAGGTTGTTTTTGGTAGATCATCTGACCATGATAAATCTACAAAATCCACTTTTAGAAAATCTAAAATCTTCTGAAACTCCGTGTATGTTTCTTTGTGTAGAGTTAAGTCCAACAGATCGTCTCTGTTTCTAAGTTCTGCACAGAATCTACAATGAGCTTTAGAATCGTAATTAATCTCTTGTTTGACTTTAATATCATGATGAGGCGTGACAGCGTTGGCCATTTGAAGATTATTGAGCGTAGACATTTATCACTTCATTTCACTAATTCTGCAATCAGAACGATAGAATCGTGCTTGCACGAATGCGCAATAACCATGTCATCTTTTGACAGGCTTTAATACCACACGGTCGCTGGAAGCTTCATATACTACTTCATGAAGTTATACAATTTTTATTAAATATATATTAAATAAACTTCGATTCTTTCCTTATTAGGAAAACGCTCTTCCCATACTCAAGAATCTCTATAATGCTTCTCTAAAAAATACACTAAATTTTCACAACAACCATTACCGAAAAAGTTCCCACAGACAATTTCTTACTATGATGACCACAGAACAATAATACTCTACGAAATGATGACATATGTAGTGTTGCCGGTGTTCATGCCGTTACTTACACAAATTATATACGTATACTCCATTCATTATAGCATTAGACAGAAGTTAAATAAGGTTCTTTTTATGGTATACTTTGTGATAAAATATCAATAATCATGTTACTCTTAAGACTGACGGTAAATTTGCTACATATCCACTTAAATACCAACTTCTATACTTAACTGTTCTCATTTAAGCTATCTATTAAACAAATTTATGAGTATTTGACCAACTTAAATGATTTAATAACTTTTACACTAAAAAGTGTGCATCTTAAAGAACCTAAAGAAGCAAGCAGGGTTGGATAGTTTCGGCACGATTCTCATGTCACTATAACTCTACCAAATTTAAAAGGTTGCCTAATCCCTTCAAACGTTTCGGCAGTACAGCTTTTTAATTTTGTCAGATTATGATTTATTCATAATAGTCAAAATACGTAATCTGGGATTGTCATTTATTGTTAATGCTACTGCCTTTCTTGTTGTTTTGCCATTTTCAGTGATTGAGTAATTACTGTTTTATTGTTGTTTTCTTATATTTTTGTTTTAGTTGTTATCTTTTTGTTGTAAAGTTTTGCTAAATTGCGATTCCGGTGCAGATCCGAGTGGCCTACAACAAATACCTTTGACATTTCAGGAAATAGTTTTCCAATGTCTTAATCAATAGTCTAATAATATCTGAATAAATTTTATAACAGTAATAATAAAAATTTCTTCTGAGATCCTCTTTTTTCTAATGTTATAATGAATGGAGTATAGTTATTTTTGAGGAAGTATTAACAAAAAAAAAATTAGCTCCCGAAATCAAAGTAGATGTCGTTACGGTACTTTTTACGCTATTTCTCCATGACAACCCTTCCGGTTTTCTTTCGTGTATAAAAGTAAATTAGTTTTGAAAACTCAATAAACAACTCATATTCTATTTGTACTTTTTTTCAGCTGGGAGTACTCTGTCCTGTTATATTTACTAACATAAGTCCATGACTGCAATGAACAAAATATACTACTACTACCATAGATGGTACATCTCTGAATAAGTATCATAATAATACTAACTACTAACTATTTTCTTTACTCTCTGATTGGATTATGTTGTGGTTGTGGAGTTTTAGTTTCAACTTTTGCAATGAGTATTTGTGATTTTAAATAATGGAAGACATTGAAAATACCTACTGCCGATTTTGCGCAGAGCCCAAAAGAGCAGATAAAGTCTTAAATTTACAAGATGACGGCGATAAATGCGAAGAAATATTATTGAAACTTGCATTCGTTAATGCTTTGTATGTCAATGTTAATGGTGATAGTATGTTGCCGAAAACAGTTTGTTTTGTATGCTACGATTCTTTAAATAAAGCTTATGAGTTTCTCGACAGAGTGAAAAGGTCACAGGAGGTGTTGTTTAGTCTGTTTTCGTTAAACGAAGCGAATAAATGTAATTTCACTGAAGATGGTAGGACTAGTGGATTAGATGATTATATCGCTCATGATACTGTTGACTATCGCTCACAGAGTGTCGAAGATCGAACTGAGGTGAAACAGGAGCCTTCTAACAGAAAGTTTAATGACTCTATGAACATTAGTGAATCTGTTTATCCTGTCGATATTAAAAGAGAACCAAAAGAAGAGGTACCTGACAATTTGCTTGAAACTTTAAGTAAAGAGTGTAGTCCTCTCGAAGATTATTCAGAAAACTTAGATGTACATGATATTATAGAAGCTGCTATTTCAAATGTGCCTTCAAACATTATGCTGTTTGCTAAAGAGATCTCGGAAGTGAAGAAAAGAAATGTGAAAACTTGGAAAGACTATCCTTGGGTTTGTGCATTTTGTAACATTGAGTTTTTGGATGTGGACACATTGAGATCTCATTCCAAAGCTGTACATGGGAAGTGTTCAGCATTTGTTTGTATTGACTGTAAGAATGTAAAGAAGAATAGTTTCACATCATTTTTGAAACATGTAAGAAAACATAGGAAGTGTCTAAGGTATATTTTTAAATTTATTTTATTGTATGTTTTTGCAAGTCAGGTTAAATTATAATTTGATTTTTTGTTTAAAAATTGCTAGTGAGGTTAGGTAAATTATTTCTATGTATCTGTGTAATGGTGTATTGTCATAAATTTTATTAAAACATAATTGTGTATTAAAAAGTATGTACTTTGTGATATGTTACTGTTAATCCTACTTCTTTATAAAGGATCTCTGCTTTCCTAATATTTATTGATTATACTAAAATACTAACTTATTTTTCAGAAATTACTGTTACTACTGTCATGAGCCTATTGACAAGGCAGAATCCCTGAGTGTCCATGTAAAGCAGCATTACCTGAAACCACTGACACCTTGCCCACTATGTGGTGAAATATTGAAAAATGAAGAAAGTCTAAATTTCCATCTACAGGAATATAATATGACTAAATGTAAACGGAGACCGAGAAGGAAACCAGGTACACCAATCACAATTGAGGAGCTAACATGTCCTCTATGTAAGAAGGTTTATAAGAATCCAAACAGTTTGAGGGACCATATGAAATTGCATACTGTAGACAGGAAAAGGAATTACACATGCGATAGATGCGGTAAAATGTTTTATAACAAAGGCACATTGACATCACACATTATGTCGCATGACAAGATACGACCTCATGTATGTAGGATATGTAACAAGTCATTCTTATTTCCGAATATGTTAAGGAGACATGTAGAAATGCATTCAGGTATTAAGCCGTTTTCCTGTGAACAATGCGGGCGTTGTTTCCGTCTGCAATACCAGTTGAATGCTCACAAAATAGTCCATACTGATTCAATGCCTTACATATGCCAGTATTGTAACAAAGCATTTCGCTTTAAGCAAATACTGAAGAACCATGAACGACAACATACTGGTGCTAAACCGTATTCCTGCAGCCATTGCGGGATGGAGTTTACAAATTGGTCTAACTATAACAAGCATATGAAGAGACGGCATGGAATGGACACATCTAAAAAGAAAATCACCCCTGAAGGTGTGTTCCCTATAAATCCTGAAACGGGACAGATAGTGAGAGTAGAAGATCCGATTGGTACAGAAGAATGGAAAAATAAAATAATGACACCTGCTAAAAGAGGCAAAAAGAAAGTTATAAAGCAAGAAAATCTTGCCACTTAAATATTACCAGATAATTGAGCACTGTTTTGTATCTAAGAGAATATTAAGCGATAATATATATGTTAATAAATAATTTATACCCATGTTCATTGAAGTCATCACACTTTGTAATAAATTCTATTTTAATATTATTTAAATTGATCTCAAAAGTTTTATGAGTTGAGTTTGTTTGTATGTGTTTCTGTACAGTTAAATTACATTTAACTTGGTATTTTATAGGTAAACTTTTATTTCTATAAATTTTATTCTAAAAATGAAACAAGGAATAAAATTAAAAAAAAAAAATCAGTATTATGAAATCACATACCCGGACAGATAATTTTGCATATAACACTTTTGACACGTATAATTATTGTTTTGTTTGTGTGATAGTGAGTTAATCGTTAATTTTAATATACTCATAATCATATTACACAAGATCTTCGGAGCATTTTAGGGTCTGTAAATGGCAAATTTAATTTAGCTACTTATAATTGTTTCTCGTTTTAGTGTTTGATGCTTTATTTTTAAGAGGGAATATTAATTTATAAAGTTTTATTAAATAATTATATTACAACAGTGTGTCGTTTTTGTGTTTTTGTTCACTATTCAATAAATTAATAAGAATCTTAAGATGCCTAATTGGATGATCAACATTGATTTAAAATTTTAAATACATATTCATTTCGAGATGTGGTATTGAAGGAAATTGCATCAAATCCCTTGGATTGCTTTGTCCTAAAACGTGTCGAGCTTACGTGAATGTTAATGGAGAACTAACTAGAGGCCACAGTCTAAAAAGATAGATAGATCAAGTCATTCAATTGCACCGTATTATACAATGCAAAAAATTGGTGCAGATGGCGGGACTTCTTCCGTCAACAACGAGGAACACGATGTGAGGTGAAGTATAATATATTATGTATTGGATTTGCTTATCCGTATCAAAAATGGATAAAATATATCCTCTACGATTTTCAATATGAAATTAGGATGTGTTAAGACGGTGGCCGCGTGGAGTGTTTACTTGGATGCAGTAGCGGCGTTAGGGTACGGCGCGGTTGGGCGACCGCCCAGGGGCGCTTTTTTCTGATTCTGTATAACGAGGAAATATTTGAAAAAATGAAAGCAATACAAAAGTATGTCCACTAGATGGCGACTCTAGCAAAAGTTGATTTTTGCAGGAAACGAATGGAACAAAAACAGTCATTTCTGTTCCTTTTAAGTAACATATTGAAAAACTGAAATTTGAAATGTTTGAAACTTAGATATCAATACAAATACGAAAAAGTACAAATAGAATATGAGTTGTTAATTGAATTTTGAAAAATAATTTACTGTTAAACATGAAAGAAAACTGGAAGGGTTGTCATGGAGAAATCAACAACGTACCGTAGCGACATCTAGTTTGATTTCGGGAACTATGGTTTTTTTATAATACTTTCTCATTTCCCACAGACAAAGATTATATATATATATATATATATATATATATATGTCCCTCGCTCATTGAACAAGGCCTACTGGGTCGGCGAAAAAAGGCAAGAACCGTGAGGATGTTCTTTTGTTTTCAAATTGTCTCACTTTCAGCATGAATTGAAAGGAAACTTGACAAGAAAAATATTATATTATGGTAAAACAGAACAACATACCGATTACCAATATGAAGATATGTATTTTATTAGGTAAGATGACGTACATTGGCGGGCATTATCATTCGGTCATTTAAGAAAATTTTCGTTTGAGCATGTTTAAACGATAAGCTGAAGCTAAAATACTGCAATACAAACGAATGCATCGGCAGTGGAGCCTCTGTCTGGCAAGTCAGATGGAATAGCTACTCAAGAGATTGTGGATGACAAATCCCGAAGTGAGGGAGCAAGTAGTGCTACGATTACAGATGCTGATCAGGATAAGTCTGTTTTTGATGTACAACAAACACATGTACTAGATGATGTTGATTCTGTTGTCTCGAATATAGCGGATCCAGCTACTTGGCCACTTATTCGAAATAGCAAAATAATTGATCATATAATAAGTAGTGGCCCACTGCAAACTCACTGTCACAAAATTACAACAATTACGCAAAGTTATACATAACAATTATGTGACACCCTGTTAGGGTGTTACAAGGGTAAAGAGTCTGGACCCAATTTCAATAATTAACATGTTATTTTAACATCTTATATACTTGAAGTATTAGGGAATGTATAGTATAGATAGCAAAAATTAATCTGTACTTACCTAATGATGTGATCCGTCAAAAATAAAACAGCTACTATTATATGTCTATTTTTTAAATAAAACTAATGTCACTCTATAGTTTGAACAAGAGCATCGTAACGTAGCGTTAGCTAAACGTTTGATTACTGTGTTTGTTTGTTTTAAAATAATCGAATAATTGTTTTAAGAGCGTCCACTTATGTCAAGCATGAAGATGATTGTTGATTGTGTTATGCTTCGTCAAAAATTAAAAGAGATAGATCTCGGGAATCCCCGATTATAGAAAAACACATTGTTTCTGTATGGTCGGAAAGTCGGGGATTCCCGAGAAATTAAACCGATTGAGCACTACGTTCCATTCTAATTACAAGTAAATAAGCCGGGTCGGCGAAAAAAAGACAAGTAACTGATTTGTAGTATGTAGTAGTAATTGAATTGCAGTTAGGGGGCGCCGAAGAAATTTCGCCCAGGGCGCTAGTAGTGCTAAAACCGGCACTGCTTGGATGTATAATTATGCTCGACGCAAAATACTTTGCTCGACACTGACACAGAATAAGTTCCGACAAGAAATTAATATGAATACTTTCCTTGATTATTATTAATGCAATTTTTTATGTCGATTATTTTTATTACTGATATTTTTTATGCTTATGATAATGTAGGTATGCCTAGTTAATATTCTTTTTTCTCATGTGTTATTCTTTTTACCTTTGTGCTATTTATTTTTTTATATAATAGGTAACACTAAAAATATTAAATACTAGCTTTCATAAATACACATAATAAAATAAAAATATCCAAATTAGTGAGTCTTAGAAAATATGATTTTGTTTATTTGATCGACATCATTTTTTCCAATATTTCTATACGCATATAATAATGAGGATAGATTTGATTGCTTGTTTGTTTGCATTGAATAGTGAAAAGCGTATTTTGTTTTGTTATAAAAGAAAAACTACTGATTCGATTTAGATAAAATTAAAATGAGATCAACTCGATCCATTAAGCTGTAGAATAAAAAAAGAATTTTAAAAATCATACATCGCCGTCGAACATATAAGCTTCTCCTTTTGGATTTTGAAGTCGGTTAAAATCATACACAGACAAGAAAGAAAGAAACCTCTGGATTCTACCTTGAAAGTACTCAGTATACCTGTGCAGCATGCGCTAAGTATCGTAGTCGGATACTAGCTACAATACTCGGCTACGACTGCTACGGTTCAACATGCTACAACTACGGCAGCTACGGTTGGATCGGAAGAAAACTATTTACGGGGAAAAGCTTTTTTTATTGTCTGTGACAAAGTATAGGCTCTATATACCGATGAGATAACATAAAGTCTAGCACTCATGAATATTAGATTTTGTTTAAAAAAAAGCATACATCGCATTCGAAAATGTAGCCTCCTCCTTTTAGATTTTGAAGTCTGTTAAAAATGAAACTAAAGAAGAAGCCTTTTCTAAGTATTTTTATATTAAATAAAAGCTTCTCGCGATGAAAATGATCTGTTAGGAAAATCTCCCATTTTGTAGGGTCCCATTTTTACATAGATAATTAAACGCTCGCCGCCAAAGCTCTTAGAAGTACATATACTTATTTGTTTGTTGATTACATTTACGTATAAATCCATGACGCAGAACAAACGTTACATACACATGCTATGGTGGTACACATGCCGCACGTTAGACTACGACAATATGTCAATTTCCGCAATTAATTTTGTATTTTCCCCTCATTGTAAATCAGTTGATTACATATTTGTTTTGGTAGCTACCAGTAGGCAAGAGGGGCATTAAGCTAAAAACCTTTCTTAGACTTTGTGATTGTTTCCGTCGGGAACTCTTTTCAATTCACAATCAGAATGAGAGTAGTTTCATCTAGGGAAAAATGCAGTGTATTGAGGGAAGCCGATGCCCAGCAGTTGATTGATGTAGGCTGATGATGATGATGTACCCTCCCAATGTTTCTAGTTTTCCTGTAATAGGTGGCGTGATATGGCGTATGTACATGTTATACTGATATATAAAAATAAAAGCATATACTTTAAATGACATCATTTATTTTACAACATACAGATTATATCACTCTACTAGGCAACATTTAAAGTATGTATATATAATAACAATAATTAGAAGCAGCCATGATTATTTTACAGAAATTACATTGAATCGATATCAGAACTTTATGTAGTGGAGTCAGGGCCGTCTTTACCCGGGGGTACAAGGAGTGCGGTCCACCCGGGCCCGCCCGGGGGCCCCTGTTGAGCGCTGAATATTTAGATATTTCATGGAACTTAACGTCATTACATAGTTTCATATACTCGTTACGATAAATACGTATGTGCAAAATTAAATATTAAAAAATAGTCATCAAAAATAATCATTGTTTTACTTTTATTACGCTTTCCTCTCATAATGTGCAAGCTTAAATACTCTTACTACTACATTAATAACAATTTTATTTAATACAACACGCGCGCAGCAATTTCGCCAATCCAAGGAGAGTCTTTGACATAATTCCGCCCGGTCGCCCGCACTTGAAGCAAAATGCTCTCACTTAAAAAAAAATATCTCTCAATATCTCTAATTGTAGTGCAATTAGGTGTAAATTAATTAGAATTTGTTTGGTTAGTGATTGATCTCATTACTTCGTGCGTGCGGGCGGCAGAGCACTGCTTACACCCGGGCTTAGGAGCCTGTTGTGCTTAATGGAGTTCGTGGTGATAATACTAATTTTACTTTTGTCTTTGATTATTCAACTTTATTCACAAATATAATGTATTAATATTGGATTTTTG